TAGCAATGTATATTTTGTTTCTCAAGCGCACTGCGTAAAAATTAGGAAATAATGAGTTGTATACTTGTGCTAGTTATAATTTTGTTGAAGGTACCTTAGACCAATATAATTTTATTATAAATTTTATATTTCTTTTGCCATAATATTATAAATTTTATTAATTTATTATCAATGTCTTCAAAATACGGATGACTCAACAAAATCTACTTCTAAATAAGATGTGTAGGGCCTTGCTATAAATTAAATGTTAGAATGCAACTATCATCAGAATATCTGAAGAAAACGAAGAGAAACAAGGCAACAAAGAATGAGGCAAGCTTATCAAAAGTGCTTCTTAAAAGCACTTTTCCGCAAAACGAGACAAACTCCTCCACATATTTACTTCGTAAACCGTAAAAGCACTTTTGAAACCATGGTTTGGTTTCCATCCAAACACTCCTGAAGAAGAGCCCCATTTTAAGTTCTGATCTGCATGAGAATAGTTTTGCAGTCTAATAGCATGAAAACTCTCGTCTTATCCCACTTATAATATCATCATGCCATTAGTGCATGTCTCTTTCAATCAGGAAAAAAAAAAACAAACAAACAAAGAAAACATCTTCACGAATGAGCATAAAGCTAAAACTTGCAGAGCATGGTATACTTCATTCTACATCATTATATCAGGTTGTGTTGCAGAGGTTGTAACAATCATAAATACAGTGCTTATTCTGAATTGGTTGAAGGAACTTTAAAACAAAAGAAAGGTAAAATTTTCAAACACTGAAAATAAAGGGTACGTCAAAGAATCTTCTGGCTAATGCTTTTGTGATACTGAAGCATCTTTTTGACTCTATTTAGCTCCACGCATATGTGCAGTAACTTACTGGGCCTTCACCTTTTTGTTTTAAGCAACCATAATTGAAGAACACAATAAGCTCAACCCAAGTTCATCTATGTCAAGTAATTGACTTTTATCTGACCTTAACGTTGTCTCTATCAGAAGTTTATCTATGTATTGTCCATCCGCTGGATCCAACAATGTTTTGGGTTTATTATATCCTTCCCCCTTAGATCATCTTTATTTGAAGGTAGTTTCTTTCTAGCTAGCAAGGTCCAGCACGAAGTTGACGTGTATGTATTGGGAACAACCTGACCATTTCTGCCCAATAATTTAGATTAAGTCGATGGCCAAGCAAGAACATCAAAGGTGAATTATTATTCCTGTAGTTTTGCTTCCTGATTAATTATATCAAGAAACTATTTGGATCAGCTTGAGATAAATGTTTTTGTATCTTCTCACATAAATCAATTCTCCAGACAGCTAATCCAAAGGGCAAAGATATCTGCTGATGTGACGGAATAATCCTCGAGAATTATATGTTATTTAACATGACTCAAAACAGTTCAAGTTCCTCATTCTGCCGACAATGGAAAAAGAACATTGTGGAACAAAATTATTTACTGGAGATATGTAAAGTGTCAGGATATGATTGGTTAAGGAAAAATGACATGATGGGTTTGATACAAGATTTTTCATGACCTGGGGTCAAATATAAAATCTGGCTTATCCTATCTATTGTGTTCTCAGAATTAACGCAACTTGAGTAATACTGTACAAGACTTGAATTTCCTTCACTCAGGGTCCACTTTGAAGATATTATATAATAAGTAGGTACATGCATAGCGTGAGTTTGAAGTCGCCTAGCTAATTATCCAATGTATAGTCTTGGGAATTCGGTTTATCATATGAGTTAAAAATCAAAGGAAGACCATTATTACTGAGTTTTTTACAGATGTCTGAGTAGACCAGACAATCTTCCTTCAGAAATTAGCTAATAAGGTTGGAGAAGACTTAAAAGATAATTAATATGGAGACTTTGACTTGATGATGAAGTTTTCTGTAATGATATAAAAAATGGAGAAGAAGATTCATGTTTCGTGTACTCTTTATGTAGAGCGTTTGTAACCTACCCTAAAAACACTTGTTGGAATGAACAATATAGATGCCATAGGTTTTGCTTTTCTCAAGCAAAATGCAAGCTGTAAAGTATAGTGATCCATTAGACTCACTGTTTCTAGACCAATCCATGTGAATTGTCATAATTAAGCAGCACAAGCTTATGTTCACTAAGATTAGCCTCACTTCTGTATCATCAAACAGAAACAATAAAAATTAACAGTGTGCTTTCTGAATCCAAAGGTGGTGATACCAGTACGATACAGTACATGCATGCATATATGCCTCATGGGTTTTGTAGTTATTAGCACATTCATATCCTTGACAGAGAAAGAGACACTTTCACAGACACAGGAAGGCGTTGTCCTAGGAAATGGGAACAAGGAAACTAAATAGGAAATGGTCGCATACAGAAATAGCAGATCAGATTACCACACAGGACACGTGTTTGGAAGACACGAAGCCTTGTGTTGTTGTGAGTTACATACATTGGGATTGAAGGTTTTGGCTCTGGGCGGTGGTTGGAATAGCAGAAGCTTTTCTCCCATACTCTATCTCTTACAGATTCTTATCCGGGTTTCTTATGGGATGCAGCTAAGCATTCACTTGATCACGCTTCATCAACCTTTTCTTTTTATTTCTGTATCTGTTTGATTTGTCTTTTGCTTATTAGTCTGGCTCATTAGTTTGACCCCCTTTTTAAATAAGGACACGTGGAAGAGTCCCATTTCAGAAGAAGTTCAATTATGTATCAGAAGTTTGGTTAAGATTATGCGTTTATTATAATATATTATGGCCAAAGCTATCCACTGTTGGAACATAAGGAGACATGCATTATCCTATTTGATTGAGTGCAGCTAAGCAATGACTTGACCTTGTTTTAATATTTGGGGTATTTGCAAAAGGCATATATACACAAGAAAATGAAATAAGAGTGTTACAAAAATAAAAGAAAAAGAAATAAGAGGGAAATTAATACTTGAAGGCGTTTTAATCCTTGAAATAAACCTACATCTACGTTTATTTCAAATGGGCCTACGCTTATTAAAAATCATATAGTTTGTTGTGATGGTCTAACTATTCCATAACAACTACTAAATATTTCAATTAACAACATCAGTATGTATTTCCATGACCAGAATAGTATAGCAAGAAAAATCCATGGTCAGCGTATGGAAAATTTTTAACTATTCTCTAGACTGCCCATATAATTCAAATTCTATTCTAATTCTAATTTTAAAAACTTCTCTTTCTATATGATATTTTTGCCGGAAAAAAAATAATTCCAAATATTTTCGATTTGCAGTTTGAGCACTGGAAAAAAATAGTACAGACGGTAAACTCTTAACTTGTCTACAATTTCTCTAAGCTATCCCCGGGGTTCAAATCTGTTGTCTTATTCTGAAACCGATTCCAATTATCAGACACTTGTTTTTAAGGAAAATTCTGTAGTTATTAGCTAGAATATACTTCTAGTTCTTCAATCCGATATAAAGAAAACTCCAGGTATTACACGGTGAATTTTTTATATGAACAAGAGACATGTGAGCACAGAGATTAAGAGTTTTTGACATCCTAAATTCTCAAAGGCCATATTATATCTTTGATCATTTTAACATTTTCTGGGCTCACATGCAATAAGATATTTTAATGTAAACAGAGGGCTGACTGGGAATGATTCAAGGAAAAAGAAAAGTAATCAAAAGAAGACATATAATTGTGCATGACATCAACTCCTATGACAGCTTCCAAACAGACAGACTTGGGGGAGCAAAACCCCAAAATAAACAAACATTAAATTTAGCATTTTAAAATGAGAATCCTTCCAAATGAGATAAAGTGGACAATACTAAACAAAAGGGAAGCATGTTCTTTTGGGTCAGGAAGATCTCAGGCAGGATCTCCTGGAGTTTACAAAACCCTCAAGAAAATGCATATGATTATATATGAAATATTCCAACATGAACACTGTTATTTCCTCCTCCTCTTTGTACACTATCCTTGCCACTCTGCCTTCACCCATATCACTCTTTATTATCTTGTCTCCTTTGTGATTCAGAGTTTAAAAGAAAAAGAAAAAAAGCCTTTTAACTTTGTGTTGATAATATGGAAAGGCTAGAACTTTCTCACAGCCTTGTCTGGACTCCTCCAAACATCAATGAAGGTGGTGTCTTTATTAATGATTAGAGATTTTTTTCATGAATTCACAACTTCTGATATAAAGATTTGAATGCAAATGTGTAAAGGAATCCTACCTAATCAAGTAGGATGACATAGCCTTTATCTAAATTATATATATGCTTACAGTATCATATAGATTTAATGGCAATCCTTGAATTTGTCTTGCTTTACCTAAAAGGTTGCATTCATGAGTAAAATCAGGAACAGTTTTATCCAATAATAAAATCACCCAATAATAAAATCACAAGCTGCATCATTTTAATTTATAATGGACACCCATTTGCTCTTCTCGCTCTCCCATGAATTAAATTTTTAGGTAAATCATGATTCCTGCAGAAAGTGCGCCTGATCTTTTTACAATTTATTTATAAATCTGTTTATATTTTGTGACCCAATCTGCTATAAAATGTTTGTTAATTTTCTGGTTAGATCTTCTAGTTTTCTTTTCTCCTGAGAAGCAAGGTTTATAGATATTTTGATGGGAGTGGCAAGTGAAGAGTACCAGTACTCTGACATCTTCAATACCTCATTTTTGCTAAGGACATGAATAAGGGTTCTGTTGGTTCACAGACGTAAGAATAATTGCTAAATCAAATATGCAGGTTGAGGAACAGGTTGTGAACCCCAAGAATGTACTGACCTACTAAAGAAAATTTTCATTTCCAAAGCAGGAAGTTCTGCGATATATTTTTAACAGACACAAGATCTCATCTGATCTTCTTAATTAGGCTTCGGACACTGAGCAGTTTTAGCAAAACTGAAGAAGCACATGATACTGAGGTTTAATACTTAACTTCAATATTCAACACCCGGGGGAAAAAAAAAAGGAGGTAAACTATATATTGAATGATTTTTAAATAAGAGTTGCAAGTGGTGAACATTGCTGATATAAAGTGAGCATGGGTCTTCATCAAAAACAAGGGAATGCGCATGCTTATACAGAGCCTGCCTAACTTAGCTTACTTGTATCCACTATTCATTGACAAGAACATTAAAATTTTGCTGGCAAAAAGTAAATGAGAAAAACAAAATCTAACTTCTTTTTCTGCAGGTTGTTTTCCACTGCACTGACAGAAAAGAAAAGAACCGGGCCATAATCTCTTCTGAGATCAAATTCCTTTCACACTCGAATTCTCCCTACATTGATTTTCAGTAACTTCTGCTGCAACTTCTTGGCAGCCATCAATGGAACTCGCCTTATCTTCATCTCATTTTCCCTCCATACCGCCTGCTAATCGAACACAGAATGCGATTGAATCAACACAGAATGCAAAATTTTCTTTCAATGCAGAGAAGAAACAATAGTACAAAATACAATAACTTACTGGTTATTCTGAAGCTCATTTTGTGATATAGATGATTGCAGATAACCATAATTGTCTGGGAATGAAGATCTCTCCTGCAACAGAACAAATAACTCTGAATAAGCACTTTAACAAAGTAGAATCTCCAAATGAAAATTGAAAGGAACACATGCCCAGTACCTCAAAATAAGTTGCAGAGAAACCTTGTGAATAATCCAGCATGCTCTCTGCTGAACCTTGTTGATTGGTCATAGTGACATCGTTCTGAAAAAATAGTGGAGAACAAAATAAGAAACATATCCCACGACCCCATTATCGGAGATTGAAATTGTGTGATTCAAGTTCGAAATTTTACCTTAGAGAAGTCGTAAACAGGAGAGCTTGCAGTGTCATCAAGCAGAGAAAGCAGGTGTTGATTTTCTCCGACTTTCTTTCTCGCTTTACTAGTTTTCTCCAGTTTGGCTGTTTTCGAAGACACTGGAGGATAAAAGCACCCATTATCTTCATTGAAGTAAGTCTCATCCTCTGGGAAATGTGGAGGCCCAGAAGAAGCATCAGAAACCATAGACAGATCCTCCTCCATAGCCTCCTCCTCGTTCTGCTCTCTTTTCTCTTTGTATTCACCATAAAATCGATTATCTCTGTGTGAACCATTCTGGTTCAGGAAAGATTGTTCAAGGTACAGAGTCCAACCAGACTCACATCCACTGCTGCATTCTGAGGCAAATGCATTCATCTTCGTTCACCTCCGATTTTCCAGGGAAAATCTGAAAAGGGTAAGTGGGAAATGTCGAAAAGAATGAAACTGTATCCACCGAAAGCAATGGGAATCGCTCTCTAGTCCTGGTTACTGAGAACCAAGTTGGATGTGAATTGCAGAGGAATGAGGAGAGAAAGGGACCGAAAAGTTGTGTTATTGAGGTTATGAATAGGAGCGAGAGAAGAGAATGCCAGATGGTTGGGATATAGTGGGTGCATGGAAGAAAGAAGAGGGAAGAGGGGGAAGGCACAAGCCTTTCACATGCGAGACAGCGAGGCACTGTGTACCCTCTTAACAAAACCAGGTACACGTCCACTTCTCCTTCCACAGTACATGGACACCTATCCCTTTGTGCAGTAATGTCACCCTCTCCCACCAAGTAAGTTGCTTCTGTGGTGTTGTTATGCCTTGGCCCTGATCTTTCTATCAGATCAAACTTAACCTTTCCAATTTCATTTGTAAACTTCAAATGTAACCTTCCCATTTTGTTTCTGTTCAAGTCCTGTTCTGCATTGGCGTTAATGGCCATGTTTTTTAGTCAATTTTTTTCTTTTTCCCCCGTGCGTCTACCAAATGTCCCCTTTTGGGAGATTAATGGCAAATACTGTTAATGGAAGAGTGAAGATAATAAACAATACTCTGTTACTTCTCCAAAGGAAGCAGAAAAGCGGAACTCTATAATGCCCAAAGCAAATGAGTAGTTTAGTCCTTAAAATGTCTTTTTGTTTCAATCTTAATTTCAAAAATGTTCCTTTCAGCTTAAATTAAAAATGGGGACCCTGTGAGACTGGTTCAATGTCATCAATCCCAGAAAGGTCACTACTCTGTGTTGTGTTACCATGCTCCAATCAATAATTAGGGAGGAAATAGTATGTCAAAGATGAAATGATTATGATATTTTAAGACTTGTGTTTCTGAGACTGTCCACGCATCATCTATACGAGCTTTATTTTATTACACTATATTTTGTTGAAAAGTACCCAAAATGTTGAAATGTGGGAGGAGAGGATGGAGAATGGAGAGACAAAGGAAAGGAGGGATGAATGAAAGTGGTCCAGAGATTAAATGAGGACACATGAACAGAGAGTGATTAGGGATACAAATGAGGAAAGGGAGGATGCAATTTCTGCACATAAACACTACATTTTGTATTTATTTTGGGTTGGTAAGCTTTGTGTCCCTCTTTTTCCTTTTCTGTCCCAAACATGTATCCTGCATCCATGGCCTCTCTCTTCACATCATTCTACCTTCTTCTCTTTTTTTCTTTTTTTTTTTTTTTGTCTTTTCATTATTCACATTTCACACCACAAATCCCATGTGCTACTTTCTTTTTCTTTTATTTTCTATTTTTTTTGGAAAAAAATAATCCCACCCATAACTGCTATCCACCCCCGCCCCCAAAAAAAAACAAGAAGAAGAAATTATATTTATCGCCCATTTGTTTTGTTTTGAGTTGAGAGTTTGGGATTATATACTTACATGTAAAAGGAAAAACTGAAAAATTAGGAATATATTGGACTATGAAGATAAGTATCTGTAGTTAAATTATATCATGTCTTCGATTTTTCAAAGAAATGTAGGTGGCCTTTTTTTTTTTTTTGCCTATGCATTTGTTTATTCTGTGCCCCTCTCTCTCTCACACACACACAACCATGTGGCCACGTGTGCCTAATATTTACATATGCTCTCCCACATATTCAAACACATGTCACCACGTGGACTCCCATTTTTATAAAATCCCAAAAATTCTATTTCTTAACATTTTTAGAATATTCCCTTCCCTCATTTGTTTAGCAAATTATATTTTTTTCCTCCATATAATCTCATTCAATTTTAAACAAAAACTGTAACCTCAAAATTTTTGTTTATTAATATGATTGATTCTTGTCCTGGCCAAAAAATATATATAATTAATTCTTGTTACTTTTATATTCACAAGTTATGAGTATGTACTTTTTATATTTTCTATTAATAGCATGAGACGGAATATTCAGAAAAATATAATAATGAGTACTAAATAAAAACATTTTTCCAACACTAAATAAAAATATTACTTCAACCATAAAAATCAACAGTGATTTTTTTCAAATTAATTTAAAAGAAAATGAGGTGATATACCTATATTCATAGGAGATTCACTTTCACAACAACAAAAACAATAATAATAATTCTATACAAAAAAAAAATTATAAGGCCTCGGATCTTTTCAGCCGGTGAAAATTTGTCGTTAGCCCAGAAAATGAGATTTTAATACTCATATCATCTCTGGTAAAAAAAATAATAATAATACTCATATCATGAGTTTTAAAACTATATTGATTAATCAACGGGGTTAAGTCTAACAGAAGGAGCTAATCCCTCATAACGTGACGAACTAAGATTCGAATTCCCATTGAGAGAGATATCCACATTTAGTGCTTGACAGTACCTTGAATAAGATTAGTTCTAATAGAAGGATATATATATATATATATATATATATATATATATATGCTTCTAGCAACAACAAAAAAAGCTACATTGATTAGGGGAAAAAAAACATAACAAAATCTATCGAGAATGGACCTTCATGTTAAAGCAATGTCATATGCAATATGGGCCGTGACCTCTTTATCTTCAAACCTGTTTCACACGTGACGCTTCCATAAGAGACTAAGAACTTACCCGATAGGGATTGGGTCTAGCAGAAAGGGCTAGTCTCCCACAACGTGGTAAACCAAAGTTTGAATTTCCGCTGGAAGAGGTGTCCACATTTAGTGTCCGACAGTACCTCGAATAGGATTGCCTCCAATAGGAAGATACTTATGCTTTAGCAAAAAAAAAAAAAAAAGAACTTACCTGATGAAATAAGATAAAATAACCAACAAACTAATGGGGGTTGAGTATAGTTGTAAGGACTAGTCTCTCACAACGTAGTGAACCAAGATTCAACTCTCTGCTGGGAGAGGTGTCCACATTTAGTACCTGACAGTGCCTCGAATAGGATTGCCTCTAATAGGAGGATACTTATGCTTTAGCAAAAATTTAAAAAAAAAAAAAGAAATAACCAACAAGAGTTAGATACTAGTAAAAAGTTAGCTAATAATTTATAAGGTTGTAAGTTTGAATCTCACTGTAAATATGAAGACTTTGTGATAAGCAATCTGTAATCGCTTTAGTCTTAATCTTATCTCTCATGCACCCAAAAAATTCTGGATAAAATTGCACCACTAAAAAGATCTAATAATGATACGTATTAAATTTATAATAATTCAAATTACTCAGTGATTATAAATAACACCAAAAATGGGCCAAAGATAAGCCATATGTGTTTAGGTTTTGAGTCATAAATATCTTGCGGCGAATATTATAATTTACCGACACTAAAGTCTAATCTTGATATTTATTGTTTAGTTTGAGAAAAATGTTAATCTCTCTTGAGATACACTAATTTTCTTTTAGATACAGTAAAGATAAAAGACCCAACTAAATTTACACCACACACCTTAGTTGAAAATGGAGTACATAATAATTTGTTCAATAAATAAAGCCTCTTGTCATTCATATCAACACAAGTTGGTAGAGAAAAAGTAAACTTTTTAAATTCATGATCATTATATTTCTACTTAATGAATAACATGAATTAAGTAAGAGAAATGGCTTCTTAAGATCAGATCAAATACTATGAGACAATAAAAAAGTGGGAAATTTGAGCTATTAATATTAATGAAGAGATAAGATCAACCAAGTTTGATTAAAAAAGAGAGTATTGGTAAGACTGAAGCAAAAGAAGGAACCGCCCAAGTTGGGTCCTCTGCAAAAGCAGACAAAATCAGACTCAAAATGGTCAAAAGTTTGGTTATAAACGACATTAATAAAACATGATTATGTTGAAATATGTTCCTAATCTGTTTTTTATGAGGTGATCAAAAAATGGATGAAGCTTCCTGGTTTGTGATAGTGATGAGGATTATTAAAATCCTTGTTGGTTGGTAGCCACCCTAATGCAAGAGCCTAAACCCTAAACCTAAAATCATAATATAATTATATGAGAATCCCACCAAAAGATGAGAATTAAGAGGCATGTGCACTTTTCCCTTGGATCACTCAGGCATGCATTGGTTATCACAACAAACAAATCTTGTATCAATTACTAGTTTCAAACTTGAACGCTTCCGTTTATATTTATTATATATAATTAGAGACGGATTTGAAAATGTCAATCGTCTAGAGGCTTGGTAATTTGAATGCTTTCCCACAAGTGGAAGGTCGTGGGTTCAATCTCGCTTATAAACTCAAACCATTACTATGTATCTTTTCTATTCTAATTTTAAAAAAATATAGAAATATAAAAAATTAATAAGGAATTTACTATATATATCCATTTTTAATTAACACTCCAACTGATATTCAAAAATAACTCCCATATGACTTCCCTTAAAAAGGAAGTATTTTAAATTTTAATGCTTGACGACATAAATTTTTCTTTACATATTTACTTTATACAGTGTAAAAATGTTTTTTTGGCTTCATCCAAACTGGCCCTTGAAAGCTCTCTTGACGGTGTTGTTTTTTTCATTTCATAAAACTCAAAGTAAAATAAGGATACAAAATATCAATTGGTTGATTAGCTTTTCTGACATGGCACAATATTATTGCAAGAAAAGATCATTTTGACAGGGATATGTCCGCAGTGGCAGTTTCCCCTTCATAATTGAAGCTTTTTTCCCCTATTTTTTTTTAACTTTTTTAAATTTTTGTCTGGATTTTGCCTGGCAAATTGGAAGAATGTGTGACTGAAATACAGCTCATATGGGCCAATATTTGACAAAAACTTATCATGTGGGTCTTCTCAATAACTTTGGGCCCATCACTATTTTGACCTACTCGTCCTGTAACGGGTCAACTTCAATCACTTTTAAGGGGGGCCAAAAAAAAAAAAGGATATATTTTTAGTTGGCAACGATTATCACTCAGTAAGAGATTGAAATTAAGTTGCCAATCTAAGTAAGAAGGTTGAAAATATAAACTCAATCCACAATACAAATTATTGATATTTTGGAGTTATTTGATTTGGTTGGACGGAAAAAAAATATATAACCTTTCTTTTTTGAAAAAATAAGACAGAGTGTCGGAACATAAAAAGAAATATGACAAGAATTTAAATCAGCAAGATGAGAGAGGAGGTGACTTTGGTATCGTAATGAAACCCTTCAAAAGACTTCAACCATTTAAGAGATATCCAGCCA